GTAAAATAACAATTGAACTTTCGTTGATTGAGGCATTGGGAACGTTAATTTAACATTCCGAATGTTAATTTAACGTTCGGAATGTTAAATTTATCATGTAGGCCTATGTAGATCCTAGTATTATCCACATTCTTCAATTGGTAGCAAAACAGTCTTGCATGTGCCTAAAAAGGAAGAAGGGATCTAGAAAAGAGGACGAAGAAGAGGACGCCTCCCCTGCTAATATTCAGACTGTTAAGAAGCAAAGCATTCAGGACTTTCAATTGAAGCAAAAAATACAGTACTCATTTCTAGGCAGCCTACGCTGGTAACATTTGGAATGTTAAATCATCGTTCCCAATGCCTCAATTAACGAAAGTTCAATTGTTATTTTACGCTTAGTACTCAAATTCGATGTACTGAATTAACGCTTTTTACTCCGGGATGTTCTSAAACAGCAAATTTCCACATACGCTTAGCTACTAGATCCACGGCACGTTTGACCACTTTGACCAGTGGTAGAATTGGGCACGTGTGTGTTTTGAGTTGGGGGATACAGGAAACTATTTCTTCAAAATTCATTTTTTTTGCTACCAGAATTCGACTACAAATTGACTAGTAGAAAAAGAATACAAATCAGATTTAAATCTGATTGATATCTGATTTATAGTTGATTTCTGGTAGCCTTCCCAGATCCCCCATGTATAATTTATACTAGACCTGCAATGTGGAGTCTCAGATATGGCACGTGCTGATAGGGCTACTACTACTGGCCAGTACCACCACATGTTGACTAGTACTAGTACTAGTATATTCCTACTAGTACCAATGATCGACTATGTGTCTACCTTAGATCAACAATATTTTTACCATAAGTCAACAATGTTTTTACCTTAAATCTACCAGAAAAAAGCCAGAGAAATCTGACCTAAATGAAAATTGTTTCCTGGGGCCCCCTATTTTAATAGTAGAGGCGTCGCATTGCAGCAACAATCTACTGTAGTCGAACTAGTCGGAGWTCTGGTAGCTAAGCGTACGTGGAAATTCGCTGTTTCAGAACGTCCCTGAGACTCTTTGTTCCGCAATCGATAAGTAGACTTTTGGGATAGCTCAGTATTTGAGCGACGAAGAACAGGTTCTCACCTACTGTGTGGTCCAAAGGGGTACAGTTTCTTTATGACTATTTAAGAGCCGTTGTAAAAAAAAATTATATATTGCTTAGGAGAAGAATGACGAGTAATTGCTTAATGCAAATACAAGCTTTATTAAGTAGACACTTTAATTTTAATCGAGTCTTATTTATGTTCCAGCTTCAGTTTGTTCTTCCAAAAGTTCTTCCAAAAGAAAGCAAGAATCACACATGATATTTTAAAATTATTGCCTTCACTTTCCATTCTTCGGAAGGTGCCCTAATAATATTTTGGTGTTGAAACAATAGTACAACGCGACTTTTGTTCTTCTCTTACCGCTACAGATTCGACGCTATAATTTCCATACGTACTCGTAATAAAAGGGAAGCTCTGTGTAGACATTCCAGCTTTACGTCACAATAAGGAAAGTTACTCAGTCATCGTAACCAACAAACTGAAAAAGCAATAGGTAAAAAAATTTATCTGAAAACGAAAACATTTCGAAGCGCAGAGCGGACGAATCAAAGTAAATGTCAGAAGCGATCACCGATACGAKCAAAGGAGGTGGGACGGTGGTCGAAATCGTTGACGATTCCTCCTCATCATCAGGATTTCACATTGATACTCTTGTCAAACTTACGGAAGATGATCCTGATTATTCGTCAACCTCTGGTCAAATAAAGAAAAATGATGCCACGGAGCAGCAGTTGGATTTGGAAAGAGGTATTGACGCCAATTTCGCTTCTGATAGTACTGTAGCGAAAGAGTCAGAAACAAACAAACAAGATTGTTCTTCAACGACTCTCAATTCTAATCATGATTCCTCTGCACAGCAGCAGGAAATTCTTCGAACCACGCCGGGAGCCTTTGCGATCGAAAGATTAATAGGGGAATCGGGAGTCGTTTCTGGACCCTCAACAGCGATTCTTCGAACCACTCCTGAACTTCGCCAGAGCATGAGCCTTGGTTTTCGTGTTCGAGCTCCAGACGAAACCTTGCCAACATTGGCTCAGTCCGAGACTGCGTGCGCCCTTCTTAGCAGCCAAGATATTTATCGCGAATCGGGCGAGGAAGAACAAACCAACGTGATAAGGGCAGTGCTCGTTAAGAATAACACACATATCTACGAAGCAAGCCCCGTAGAGAGCGTGGCAGAGGACAASAYGAAGAATAAATGGTCCTCGAAGACATTATTTTTGTGTGCCGCGAGTGCCATATTATTCGTGCTAGTAACAACAATKGCGTTCGTTGTTGCAGGAAAAACCAAAGGAGAAAAATCTATGAAGATGAACCCCGGTTCCACCCCAGATCCTTTAAAGGAGAAACGGCGAGACTATTTGCTTTCTCTTCTGGCCCCCCTTAGCGGTCCCGCAGAAGAACAGGTCTTCAATCGGGGAAACAACACAGYTATGTCGATGGATCGGATTAATGCTCTCAGTTGGCTTGTTGAAGACACTAGAAACAAGATTAGTCTGACCACAGAACGGAACGATCCAATTACAAATAAATCGGTAGCAGAGCCAGTTCCGTTATGGAAGCTTCGTCAACGGTATGTTTTGGCTCTATTTTATTTTGCCACAGACGGAGTGAATTGGGACGACCAATATTTCTTTCTTTCGACACAGGATGAATGTCAGTGGACGAAACGATTCCCTCTAGCAAATGGTGAAAAACAAATGGGTGTTTCTTGCAACGACGAAGGTCGTGTCACTGGGATCTCATCGAGTGAGTACATGTTGAATGCAACGATTAATTGACGGCGTGCTTTGTTATGGAAGCGTTCTAACTTCTGCGACTGCACTTCTCTTTTCTCGTACAATAYCTGACCATAATGAGAAAGGATGGAATGGTTTGGCAGGGACATTACCCCACGAGCTATGTTTTCTCGMGGACACTTTCGAACATCTCAACCTCGCCGGGGATCTGATGACTGGAACCATTCCCGAGGAATACGAGAGATTCACGAAACTAAGGACCCTCGTGTTAGATGACAATTGTATCGATGGGACCATACCCCAGAGTCTTCTGAGGCTGCCCACACTYACTAGAGTCAGCTTTGTGAACRCWCCTTGGCTGTCGGCGCCAATGAATGAATTTTGTAACCGTMAAGATTATAAAGAAGGGACGATTTCTATTGCGGGCGACTGTTCAGGTGAAACCAATGGATGCGAGTGCTGCACTTGCTGCAATCCTGACACATTTCGATGTACCGATCGGGAGTCKGGAAATTCCTGGAATTCCTATAATTTGAACGCCTTTACAGAAAGGGGTTTCGTCAAGAGCTTCCGAAAAAATACGTGTCGGACAGAAAACAGTAAGCATTGGATAGCAAACGAGTGCCCCTWTATCATCAACAGTAACACCAATCTTGACACCAATCGATTCGAAGGCGAGTGCACGAAAAATGGTGCTCAGAAAGGTGCTCAAATAAGTCACGATGCATTTCTCTGGTTCTAATCTGTCAGGCAACCAATGACTGAGCACTTTGCATTCCAACTGGTTTCTTTGAGCTTGATCCGTYTGATAGAAAACCTTTTAACTGATCCCATCTGATCTCACCTCTGCCGTAGCACCTATCATCGACAACTGATAACTTCGGTGTCACCCGCATCAGTGATTCGCAACCACAATACGCAAACACGACGAAATCATAGGATTTCACTTTCAGGAAGTCCAAGTATTCAACTAAGTGCACTTTTCCGTTCAAAATYTCACAGTTYTTGGTACAAAACGTGTACTCTTTGACATCTCAACAGGATTTATCTGCCCTCTCGGAAGAACCCTTTGAAATAATGAATCGTCCCCGAAAAGAAGGGGCAACCGGAAGCTCCGCTTCCATATTCAATTCCACCCTGATCAGTGATTCAAAATCATTGCACGCAAACAATACGGAAAGCTTGGACTGAAACGTTCAAGAATTCAGCAATACACACGCCTCCGTTCAAAATAAGTATGATGAATACTACTTCTATCGTTGCAAAATTGTATAATTACAACTCTTTTCATAGTACTACTGCCAGTAATATTAGTAACATCTACTGTCATGTATCCCTTAATGGGAGCGTACACATAGGCATACTAACGCCCATTTGTCGATCGACAGTCAAAATACTGTGAGCCAATACAAACACCATGATTGTGCTGACAGCCTCCTCTCCTTGAATATCATTGACCCATGTTCGATATGTGATTACAATCTACCACTATGGTCTACAACAATCATAATCAAGTTAGTTGTCCTACTCGTAGTAGTCTTTTTGGATACATCCCCTATTCAAAAATACATAGCATTATTTTCAACCACATCTCATACCAGTGAACTACTCTACTACGTACGTACTCCTAGAAGTACCGGTACGTGATCTACGCGCATGATTCGTAAAACCTATCTGTTTTAAGGTTCTGTTGTTATCGATTGAAAGCGTGTTCATCAACAAGAGCTGTACCACATAGAGCCTTGTGCAGAACAGACCTCCACAGATGGGAGAAGCTATTGCAATCGGCACCAGACAAGGGCAAGGCGAAGAGAGCAGCAACAACGATAATCGAAATTGCAGCCGAGACGCATTTCGAGGAGTTGCTCGTCCGATCTCATTGTCTGAAGAATTTAGCCATGTCGTCAAAGCTTTGGAAAGCACGGAGCGAARCCTGCGACTGAAAAGYCATCCCATGCTATTCGATCGTGCCCCTCACCTCGAAGTAGACGACGTAAAGGATATTGAGAAAGAGCGGCAAAAGAAGAAGCACCRGCAAAAAGAAGAGCAGTTGCAACAGCTTCAGCAACAGCCAGGTGGTGCCATGGTATCGACGGCGGCTCCAATCAAAGCCACCATTTCGAAGGATACCCTAACTGCATCATTGAAACGACTGCTTTTAAAGGGAGTTTTCAAAATGGATCATCTCATGATTCCATCCGAGCTGTCGCCAACATTCCGGTTCGAATCTATCTTGACACTGGACGTGAGCCACAACGAATTGACCGACCTGCCGGGATTGTCCCTGTTCAAGAATCTGCAAACTCTCGATCTGAACCGAAATTGGTTCAACACCCTACCATCGGAAATCGGAATGCTGAACGAGCTCCGGACGCTGGTTGCTTCTCGGAATTTTCTGCGGCCCAACACCCAGTCTCTACGGCTGGAATCACTAAGGGAGTCTGCTAGACACCTCGAAACATTCGATCTGCGGTACAACCAGAAATGCGGCCGGCCCTTCCATCGCGACAGGGTGCAAGAGGAACTCTTGCCACTGAAGCCAACCATCCAGATGACGCTGTGGGAGGAACTCGGAGAGACACCGGGAACCTACATTGGATCGAGTGCCGCGGTCCGCAATCCGATCCTCCTCCGCAGCCAGCTCGAGCCACTGGGGACGGTGGCCCTCCGGAAAAGGTTGGTCCGCGATTTTGGTCAGGAGCCGACGGACCCCTCGGAGGTTGATCGTGCGGGGGTGATGAGGCGCCTGCTCAGGGCATATTTCGACGAGGGCATGGCCCATTTTCAGGGAAACGCCGGAGTGGCAAACCAAACGGACGAAGCGTGCTACGACTCCCTGATCGCGAATCGAACCACCCTGCAGGTCTACGGAACTCCCGTCCCACAAACAAACCTCAATGATCTACTGGAAGAACTCAACAAGTGGACGTCCTACACGGGATTGGTAAACAAAAACCGGGAACGGCCATCTATTCACGCAAGCAACTACATGATCCTGCGGAGACCGAGATCCAGGGAGGAGCTGGCGGCCGAAGAATCTCGCAGCACACGCGACAAAAAGTCTCGCCGGGCGATCCGCAAGGCCAAAAAGCTGGAGCGCTACCGCCGCCTTTGGGAAGTAGGGATCGCCGCCCTCCGCATGGTGGATCCGGTCTTTGCCGACCAGAAATGCACGGAGATCGCCGTCACGCACGGGTTTTCGGGGAGCCCCCACATCGACAAGCAGAACTGTGGGCCCTTTTACGGGCTGAGCCTGGGGAACTTTGACGACTCGGACGGGAAGGGAGGGATCGTGGTCGAGTCTTCCGCGCGGGTCGTGGTGCAGGTCAACACCCGGAACCGGCTGGGACGCGTCGACGGGCGTTTTGTGCACTGGGTAAAGCCGTGGGGGAGGCACGACCGCCACGGGCAGGATTCCTCCGGTGCCCGGGTTGACGGAGAAAACCAGGCGGAAGAAGAAGAAGAACAACGCTATTCGCTAATCTATTACGAAACAGGGAACGATTTCGTCCCACCGGGGCCGGCCGTGTTTACCATACCAAAGGATTCTCCCTAGATGCTTGCATCGCGGTGGCGAGTTTCTTTTAATGTGCGACTTGTTGTTTAAGTAATAAACTAATGGTTTAAATAGTATATTGGCACGTTGCGGTCGGTGTGTTGCATTTCGTATTCCGCCCGTCTGCGCATACTCGTGGAACCATGGAAAAGCATCGGGTGGAGCAAGCCCCTGCAAGCGGTCTCTCTGGTTCTCACAAAAACAACGCCTGGGTGACCAAGAACGTGCCGTATAGCACTGCCAGCTTGCGACGGCATGAATCTCTCCGGATCGAGCAGGAGCAATTCGTCCGGTTCCCTTTCCTACTGCGCAAAACGACGTGCGGACGCATCGTCAAGGTTTGGCAGGCAGGCAGGCAGACAAGCAAACAACAGGTCGTTCTTCCCACAGAGACAAAATAGCCATGCGTTCCTTACGTTCCGTTCCGTTTCGATTCGTCTGTCACCGTCCAATGGGCGGCGGTGGCGGCGGAGGAGGAGGCGGGAACCGAACCGATGCCTGTGGCGCCGCGGACCTCGGTTTCGGTCGTCCGGTGGGACGTGCGAATCGCGGRGGCGTTCGCTCGGACACCGACGCTTGTGCCTCCCCCGGTGGGGCCGGCAGCGATGAAAGGGTAACGCCAGCGGACTCCTTTCCAGACTTTTTTCGGTGCGTCAGCCGGTCTCCGCCGCCGTAGTGCGGGTGGTTGTTGCCATTCATGCTGCTAGCAGAGATGTTGTTGTTGTTGTTGTTGTTGTTGCTGCCGGCCGCGTTCCCGCTGGGAATCTCCCGGTGCGCATCGGCCCGCTGGCTCCCGGTTTGCCGGTCCCCGGTGCGACCTTCGGCCGCCTTCTTTCTCGACTTGGCCCAGGAAAAGACCATGAACCCGGCAAAGGAAATCCCGATCCCGGTCATGCTCTGGGCGGAGATCGGGATCCGGAAGAGCAGGCCGGTGCAGACAATGGCGAATATCCTGCGGGTGCAGTTGAGGGCGGCGTGGTGGACGACGCTGATCCTGGTGAGCAGGTAGGTCGATGCCAGGTTGTAGCTGGAAAAGGCCAGGCCGTTTCCGACGGACCAGAGCATGTAGCGCCGCAGGAGGTCGAGAAAGTCGTGCGTCGCCAGGTGGGAGGCGGCGCCCGTGGCGTGGAGGAAGAGTCCCTCCCCGTGCCAGAGCAGGGTGGGAACCAGCAGCAGCACGACGCCCGTTTGCTGCATCCGAAACTGCAGGTTCAGGTCGTCGAGTGCCAGCACCGATCGCGCCGGTTTGGACGGCTCCTYGCCGGAAGCCTCGGCATCCCCGGCGTCCAGCCGCKCCGTTTCCGCGGCCAGCGCCTTTGCTCCGGTGCGAAAGAGCTTCTGGTAGAGCCCCCGCAGGGAAAAGCAGAAGTTCGAGGCCATGACGATGGCCGTGGCGGCCSCGAGCGAGGTTCCCGCCGACTCTCCCGACATGCTGGCCGAGTGGTTGGATCCGTTGGTGGACAAAAGGACGCCGCCCACGATCCCGAAAAGTCCGACCACCTCCGGGAGGGTGAGGCGCTCGATCCCCCAGAGTACGGCAAAGACAGCACTCGTGATGGGCTCCGCCGCCTTGAGGGTCTCGACGTAGGTCGGTGCCGCTGCCCCAAAGGCCATGTTGGTGGTGAGAAAGCCCAGCGCAAAGTAGATCCCCGTCCACACGAGCTTGCTCAGAACGGGCGAATCGCGGTTGCCGTGGCTGCCGCTGCCGTAGGCATCCAGCACGTCRTCCAGCGGGGCGATGCCCTTGGTGAGTCCGAGGAAACGGAGGTAAATGGCCAGCCGCAAAAAAGTCGATCCCAGAAGCAACTGCTGGAGCGTCAGAAAGAGGGGCGGGAGTCCCCCGACGTGGCGGTAGAAGGCCTGCTCTTCGGCTACCGAATCGTCGTATTCGTGCTCGTAWTCGGTTTCGTAGTCGTCGCTCCCGCCCCCGGAAGAGTAGGGCGTCAGGAGCACCTTGCTGCTGGAAATGCTTACCACCCCGAGGGAATACCAGAGCATAACGGCCAGCACCAGGGGGGCGGCGGAGGCGCACAGCGAGAGGCCCGAAGAGGTGCCTGTGCCACCGGAAGCGGACGGGAGATCGTTTTTTCTCCGACGGGCGGTCCGGAATTCCAGGTTCCGCTTCCGCGTGGTCCTCCCCGGGAGGGCAAAGCGYTGCGGACCGCCCTGGGGCAGCGTCGTCGTTGTCGTCGTCATCGCTTCCTCACCCCGGGGATTGGAGCTGGTTCCTTCCGCGTCGGCGCGGGCGGCCACCGAAGCTGTCGCTCGGGATCTCATCGCCGCCGGGTCAAATCGGGTTTATTTGCGATTGGGTGCTTTCTTCTGTCCGTTTCGTTTCGTTCCGTTTTGTTCCATTCCTCGGGGACTGGTTCGTTGCGTTTTGTTTTGTTTTGTTTTGTTTTGTTTTGTTTTGTTTTGTTTTGTTTCGTTTCGTTTCGTTTCACTCCGTCTGCGTGGTTGGATGCGTCTCGATTCTCTTTCTGCTCCTGGCGTATGCGGCGAAGGAATCTCGATCGGCAACAATGACGGTCGCAACTGCTTCGGCTTTGATGCTTGACCGTTACGGAAGAAAGTGTGCCGAAGCTAAAGTATGTTTCGTACTCGCACGCCCTTTGTTGAGAACGAAGCTTC